AAGAGAGATGGAGGATTAGGATCGGTCTGTAAAGCCTCTCGCTCTTCACCCCTCTGTCTCTCTCCACCTCTTTGACTGCAGGCACAAACTGGCTGACAAAATGACACGTAAGACTCTGGAGAGGGGAGATTTCCGTCTCTTGCATTATGCCGGGGAGGTCACCTACTGCGTTGTGGGTAAAAGAAACCACAATGTCAAGCCCTGTTACTCAAACATCTAAACCTTCTTTTTCATCTGGCTAACAGCTTTTTTTTTTTTGACATTTTAGGTTTCCTGGACAAAAACAACGACCTATTATACAAAAACATAAAAGACGTAAGTCTGTTAATTTGTATTTTGTATTATTTGAGGCAAGGAGTGGTAATATGCATGGGAACTTAATTAGTACTGTGGTTATTCTCAGTAGTGTAAAACTTTTACGCTAAAGTTCCCAAACTTTTTTTACAATACATTTTCTTGATAGCCCTGCTAGCATAGTGCACACTATTTCTTTATTGTCATCCATATGAATCATATTCATATCACAACAGATATATTGACATGTCATAGCAGAAATTAAACAAATGTGTTACATCTGTGTTTGACAAGTGTAGAAAACTCTACAAATTGTTTCAACTTTAGTTTCTGCTGCTGTCAATCACACAAGAGCTGTTGGCAAACAATGTTTGAGTATCACATGATATGTTGAATTGGTGTGTTTTAATCGATGTGTTTTATCTCCACTTCTCATAGCTGATTTGTCAGTCTAAAAATGCCATAGTGAGAGAGTGCTTCTCCACAATGGAGTCAGACAGCAGGCGAAGACCAGAAACAGTGAGTCCATGTTTGACCCTCCACATCTTCTCAACTGTATCACTGATGAAGCGGATGTTACATATTATCAGCAGTACTGAGTTACAAGTCATATACAAGCATTCATCTTCTGGTCATTATGTAAAATGGGAACAGAGAATTTTTTTTTTTTGCACAGTGTAATTCGCAAGCATCCAAAAGATTGACATTTTGACCAAAAAGATATATACATACAAACCAAAAAATGATCTCCACCTACAACTAGTAGATCACATGATTCAAGCTAGCACCCATTATCCCGTTAACAATTTACTATCTACAAAAATAACACATAATGTACCAAAGGAAGGACTGTAGTCCATACAGGACATACAGGAGTGAGTTTTCTGAAGAGAAAAAACATGCACAATGTTGTTTACAAATGAGGAGAAATAAATCAGTAAGTGCTCTAGATCAGTGGTTCTCAACCTTATTGAGTCACGACACCCCAGAACATTCAGGTTGGTGGTTACGACACTGGCGCCCATTGTGATTGCTCTAATAAATATTGAAAATAAATAATGCTTTGTTTTTGAATACAGTTTGTTATGGTTTTAACAGATTGCACTGAGGCTTTGTCCAATGTGCTCCAGGCACTGTGGATTTTGATGGTACTGGTGATAAGTGTTCTCTGCATAGATTTAGGTGAGCGGATATCTATTCTACCAGATGGCACTGGGGATGCAATTTATTTTACAAAACCCCCTCTGGAACCCCCAGAAATTATTTTACGCCCCCCTTGTCGGTCACAATCCCCATGTTGAGAACCACTGGTCTAAATAGAGTGACCACTGAGACAAAGACAAGTCATTTCTTTCTCTGTCCATGGCAGTCAGACTGTGTCATCATTTAGCCATCTGTATGTGACAGATGAACTGTTGGGGATTATGACCCTCGTGTTGTGTCTGTAGGTGGCGACCCAGTTTAAGAGCAGCCTGCTGAAGCTGACAGAGATCCTCATGGCTAAAGAGGCCTGGTACATACGCTGTCTAAAATCCAATGAGTCCAAGCAGCCAGGTACTTAGTAGAACATACGTGAAACTATTTTGTTAACGGGATGGACATGTTTGATTCAAAGTCTCTCTCACGCAAACACAGGTCAATTTGATGAAGCTCTGGTCAGACACCAGGTGAAGTACCTGGGCCTGATGGAGCACCTCAGAGTCAGGAGAGCTGGTTTTGCGTACAGGCGCAAATATGAGGTCTTCTTAAAAAGGTATGAAGGACCACAGAGCTTGACTTCTAAATTAAAACCCTCGGTTTAATTAGTTACTCTCCAGTGCATATTTGAGTGGGTTGTATGCTGCATCTTCCAGATATAAACCCCTGTGCCCAGCCACCTGGCCTCACTGGAGAGGACTGCCTGCTGATGGAGTGGAAGTGCTGGTTCAACATCTGGGCTACCTGCCAGATGAGTACAAAATGGGACGGTGAGGACAGCACTGACTAAATACAACAGAGAGAACCCATTCTATGAGTAACCAAAAACATTTAGTTTTCCTTTGTTTCAGAACCAAAATATTCATCCGTCATCCGAGGACACTTTATGCCACAGAGGATGCATTTGAGAAATGCAAACATGAACTGGGTGAGTGCAAATCTGGTGTGATTAAGTGTCAGTCATCACTAGTTGTGCACAGTGATCTAATATTATGCTCTGAATTTGCAGCGACGAGGCTCCAGGCCAAATACAAAGGATACAAAGCAAAGGGAGAGTTCAAAAAACAGAAAGAAGCCGGTAAATGCTACAATGCATGATGTTGTGTTATGTGAGTAAAGGAAACTAATTCAGTCTCTCTTATATTTCATTTTATTTCAGCCACTAAGATTGAAACGTGCTGGAGAGGAGTGCAGGCTAGGAAGGAGAGAGAGAAGAGAGCCTGGGCTGTAAAAGTCATCAAGAAGTAAGAAAGAAGATGAAACATCATTACACAGCTCTTCTCAGTCTTAATGTCAAATTTTCACTGATACAGTATTTTACAATCGCTTTTAGATTCATCAGAGGTTACATGACCAGAGGACAAGCAAAGAACACAGATAACTCGGAGTACCTGGCCTTTGTGAGGCAAAACTACTTGAACAGGCTCAAAGGCAACCTGCCAAAGACGGTTTTGGATAAAACCACCTGGCAAACTCCACCAGCCGTGTTGACAGAGGTCCACCCATTAATCAGCTTTGTTGTGAAACCGATTACATTCAAGCTTAGCTTTTATTTTGACTCTGTGCATGTTTTTGTTCTCATCAGACATCAGAGATGCTGCGTAAGCTTCACTACCGTCTCATGGTGCGGAGGTATGTGAGAGGAATCACTCCCCAGAAAAAAGCCCAGGTAACATACATGTAAACACATTATCTAAGACTACATCTTCATATTATCTTGTTGCAGTGATCAACTTTGTACTTTTTGTCCCTTCAGTTTCAACTGAAGCTTCTAACCAGCTCCATCTTCAAGGGCAAAAAGGAGAGTTATCCACAGAGTGTCGCTCAACCTTTTGTGGACACTAGAATCAGTAAGTAGCAGATACATTCACGTTACGCCCTTTTCATGTTGATCATCTTTTACATCATTTGATATCTTTAGGTGAACAAGACATTAACATGAGGGTTCTCCAGATGATTCGCAATGAGCACATCAAGGTAATGAAATGTCTTTATGCACCCAGAGGACATACAGCCTCACATCAAACCCAACTCACTGTGTTGTGTTCTGCGTTTCTGTACAGTACAGTGTCCCGGTGGTTAAATATGATAGGAACGGGTTCAAACCAAGGCCACGACAGCTCATCCTCACCCAGACAGCTGCCTATCTGATAGAGGAAGCCAAGATCAAACAGAGAGTTCTGTACACGTCTCTCAAAGGTAAGGGCAATGTGAAATTACACATTTCACCGTTAGGGATGTTTTCATATCGGGCTTGAAGTTTCTGTAATGTACTCATTGCAGGTATTTCGGTCAGTAACTTGACGGACAGCATCATCATATTCCACATAACATGTGAGGACCCTAAACAGAAGGTATGTGGATACATGTAATACATATGGAGATATTTGGGCTTGCCATTTTTGTTTTACTTGGGCCATTAATATAGCACTGGGAACGTTTTATTATGTGGAAATGGGAAAGAACTAATATAGTGGAACAAGTGAAAATTCATATTCTGACTCGAGTACAAACTAACAGAGATCGAGAGAGCACTTTCTTTAGTGTTAAAGCAGCTTTACTCTACTGAAAATTATTGAAAGGAAGCATACAAAGCTGAGTAAATTGTTGAGTCATACAGCTCATTTACTCAGAAGATGTTCAGGTAGAAGTTTCTTAAATCCAATAGAACATTACATTTTGTATATTGGTTCCATTTGTCTGATTGTGTATTATTTTGTGATTGTTTCAGGGGGATCTTGTGATGCAGTGCGACACCTTGTTTGAGTGTTTGACCAAACTCGGTGTCATTGCTAACAAACAGAATGCAATCAAAGTGGTTCAGGGCAGGTGAGTGTGTTTAAGAAAGAATCAAACAGGTTGGATTTGATATGTGCTTCAATCTAAAACTCTTGTGTATCGACTCTCAGCGTCAAGATTGAAATCCAGGCAGGTAAAGAGAGCGCGGTGGACTTCAGCACCGGACAGGAGCCCATGGTATACAAGGCCAAGAACGGACACCTCATGGTGGTGAGATGAGTGCTGTTATGATATATGATATATACATATGATATATGATGCACTGCTCAGACTAAAGGATACAACATGAATCAAGCGGTTTGCCACCGCAGGTTTCCACTCGGGCTAGGACCCGGTAACATGTGTGGGGTTGAGACGACACACAAGAAGCCCCTGCATATTTCATCAGGAGACCCCTGAGGGGAGATCAACGTGTCTAAAGGAAACACACCGGACCAGAAGCACTTTAGAAACCCTGGATGAGCGTGCTTTGTTGTACAGCAACACGATTCTCATCTGTATTATTAGTCGATGATGAATTGACCTTTTCCACAAAAGAATATAAACCATTAAGTTTTAATATAATTTGGGGCCTGGACAAAATTACTTTAATGTACTAAACTCATAAAATGCTTGAAAGAATGTAATTCTGATCCTCAAAATTAAGCCATATGTGTTGTACTTCTGTATTTCCACTGATGATGGGATTAAGCAGATTAAAAACAGAAAAAAAAGATTTGTAGAAATTTATTCGTGATAAAGTATGTATAAATATAAAACATACATATATGTTCACTTCTGTACAAGAGACCTGCAAGTACTGTGATTGTTAGACATATTTAAACTAAAAGCTATCGTGTGCAAACATTCTCCGATGAATGCGGGGATGAAGGACAGGTCTAATTTCTCTCCCTGTTAGAAGCTTGTAGACAGGATTCCCTTCCTGCTCGAGAGATCTCCTGTTACAGTCCTTCACTTCAACCTCAGCATCCATCATTCAATCAGCCCAGTACATGTAACACCCCAGGTCACAGCTCAAGTTCCCTCCACTGAAAATAATAATGAGCATTTATGGGAGTGAAGGGAAAATGCATACATGTTAAAACTAAATATGGCAGAAGCACTACAGTGAAATGTTGTCACCTGTGATATCTTAACTATCAAAAATGAATACAGTTAAAAAAAAAATTTACTTGCTATAATCCCCAGGCTACACAAATAGCCATGGTAACATATTCTAAGAGTAAAGTAGTGCCCACATGTGGCCCCATTGTGTACAACATCTGGTTGATCCATTGATGACCCGTCAGAACCGTGGTAAGGAGAGGCAAACATTATGTACATTAATCTTTAGCTGCTAACATGATATCATTCTTCTTCTCCTGGTTGTAATGTAGTAAAGACCTCAAATAACTGATGTATACCAACAATACTCTTTCTATTCTTTGTTTTCACACGATCAGGTAAAGCTGTGGTCACCTGCAGTTTTGAATGCAAACACTCAGGTCTAGGGGTTCCTGCACACGAGCAGAAAACAGTGATAGAAGTTATCATGACCAACAAACAGAGAACAAAACACTACAGCCTGTCAGACCACATAACGAAGATGACACACACACACACAAACACAAAAATCACGTCACCACTACACACTGTTGTATGACACGCTTCTCATCGTAGTCTCCTGGAGAAACAGCTGGTGAAATAAGAGTGGGAGTGAGACAGAAAGGCGCTGGGTGATGTAAGGCACAAGCGTGGTGCAAACACTGTCCAGGGTCAGAGACACGGGCTGGCGGGTCGAAGGAGAAAGGTCACTGGTGGTGGTGTGTGCGGTCATCGGGTCGTTTGATATGAATCCTACGAACTCGCTCAATTCGGTCTCGCTCCTCGTCCTCATCCAGATGATGAGAACGTCCTGCAGCGCCCCCTGTGGCCTCCAGCAGGGCATTGTCCGGACCCCTCCCGTCATGGGACTCGTACAGGAGGATGTTGAGGGTCTCCTCGTAGATTCGTGCCTCGGGGAACTCCACCTAGCAGAGTAGTAGAGTGTTACACAACAGATTAGAGATATTTAAACAACATACTGTAGCTCTACATTTACTAAAGACCAAAGAACTCTTCTGGTTGGTCATATAACAAACATGTTTACCTTTGTCTGCTTCTTTTCTGTGGCATAAACAATGGAGGTGCAGCACACTTCAGCAATCTTACGCCCCTGGCCGTAAAACGACCAACAACAGATCTCATCCCCGATCACATCTTTGATGAAGAGAACTCGACCGTTGAACCGCAGTGACAGCTTGTCAAACAGCTCAATATTTTTCAGCATGTTGTCATCGGAATTGCTGGCGGGAAAACAAGAAAAAGTGTTACAGAACGGTCATTTATTTTAAGAACTTTTATGATTTCCCCACTTTATGTTTTTTCTTAATTAGACATCCTGATATCAGATGAAAATAACTCACCTGGTATATGAATATTTGTTGTTGCTTCGGTTATACAGCAGTTTGACAGTCGGCTGCAAAGACACAGACGTTTGTGTTTTCAAAGAAAAATTACTAATTTTTAAATTACAACTTCTCTTGATATTGAACATGAGAAATTCCGCACGTTGTGTATAACCTACCTTATTTGAGGTTGCAATAAGCTTCTGCTCCTCCTTAGATGATGTCATCAGAGGCACTTTACAAAGGGGTTCATAACTTTCTTTGTTCTGTAAGAGAAAATAATGTTTTTATTTTTTCCATTACACAAATTCCACCTGCTAAACTGGAACATTCAGAATATAATGGGAGAAACGAGGCCACCTGGTGGAACAGAGTAACACAAAAAGATGAAGGATATGCAACTCACCCTCTATGATTTTTAGACTTTCTATGCAGATTGGTTTAAAACTATTTTCATACAGATTTTATGTTCCTCATAATAGTAGATAAATAAATACAACAATAATAAGTTTCACCGATATTTTGATTCATTGGATTTTTCTTAACCATGGATAAATGTTTCATATCAAAATAAACAGATACATTGATCTTATATATATTATTATATACTGTATTAATATACAGTGCAGTTCACTGGATTTAAACCTTTAAAACTTATCTAATAAACACTTAAATAAAAACTCTAAATTTTAGGTGGAACGATAGGAATTTCAGAAAATAGGACTTAGTAATTGTTCTGTGGAGTTCATTTTACACAAATTCTGAAGTCTGAATATGTTGCCCTGCCTAGCTGACAGCCCTATGTGGTGAACGTACCTGCAGGGCAGCTGTGCACTCATCAGCGAGGCCTTGGACAAGATAATACTTGGCCTCAGCGAGCAGTTCCTCAGTTTCCCGTCGGCTGTCTGGGAGTGGCACTGCCCCGTCTCTAAGGTAGTTCAGGATTGTCCCGAAATGTTTCCCACAGCGATCGATCAAAATCCATCCTTTGGATATAAAATGGTGAAACATTAGTTAGTAAAATATCGTGGCCAGAGCAGGGCTGACATAAGCCCTGCATATAATTTAAACACTTCCCCCAACAGCTCACCTTCACTGTCTGTGAGGACCTCCATCCTGCCACTGAACATGGCTTTGAGCATCGTGTCCTGTTTGGTTAGTGTCTGCATTGTAGTGTAGTACAGTGCCCCACCCACATTCAATTTCACATATTTAGAGCTGGGGCTGGATCCCTTGAAGGATGTAGTCCGGGTTGTAGCTGCTGGCACTGCCGAGCTCACCACGCTCTCTCCTGACATCTCTTCCTGGGAAAGACAAAGGTAAAATATAGTGACACCTGAATCAGGGCTGGTGTGTCACTGGATTAGCTCGGTTCAGGGCACTGAGTGGAAACAGACTCTTAACACACAGGTCTATATTAATGTTGATAGCTTTTCTAATCTGCAGAATGATTCCAATAAATGTAACAATTTGTGACTGGAGTTTTATTGCCAACGATGGACTCTGAAATACTTTGTTGATAGCAAATAAATGTCATCAAGGCTGGGGCAATACTTTTATTAATATAATGGGATTACTGAAAATATGTTACGCACGACAAAGCTATAATAAAACGTGTTTTTCCTTCAAAGAATTATAGACGTGTATTCGCAATATGTCGTTAATAAACAAAACAACTTTAGCTATATGTCCTGGTGTTTTTCATACTTTTAAGAGACATTTGTCTTTTTGTTTGTATTCATGTTGCCACGATAAAGCTACGAAAAAGCTGGAAAAGTAAAGAGAAAATTCAAAGAGAGCATTAACGTAACAGTCTATTGACTTTTACTATGCGGCTGGTATCCTTTATCAAAACGCAAATAGCGTTATTACAGTTGAACGACTGTTCACGGCTCTCCCCCCCCCTCTGTGTACGTAAAACACTGAACCGCATCCCTAAATCTAGTAACGCTAAGTAGTAATTTGATTTTAGCTAGCACTGCTGATGAGCTAGCTAACTAGTTAGCATCAACTAAAGTTATCAATATTATCCCAAATCTGTCAAAACATACACATATTATGATACTGGCTGTTTGAACATCTCTACATAACGTTATCAACCGGTTTGTAATCTGATTTTTATAAAACAGAAGTATATTTACCATAGAACCCGCAACAGACTTTATAACTGTAGCTTGCTAACGTCAGTCAGCTAACACCCACTTCCTTCCGGTCCGACGCTGCGCAGTTATAAAGAATGACGTCAACGTCCCCTGCCCCGTTTAAAGGGACAGTTAACATTATGTTGTTAAACGTTACAGAACGTGTTCGAGGTGAGGTGAAATGAGACAAAATGAAACACCCCACTTAAGCCGAACTTTTTGTCACACTACTTTTAATTAACATATTGAAGAACATCGCTTTAATTACATTAGCCTCCACATTTCCGCTGTTGAAGGAGTAACGGTGATAACAGTCCCCCCGCTACTCACTCAACTGCTGGGACGAAACCTTTATCCAATAGCGACTTTACAAAGTTGTTGTTGTAACAACACGAACAAAGATAGTTTGCTTTATCCGAGACCTTCTATTGGTAAACACTCTCATATAACGATTTATAAATCAAGACAAACACTACCCGGACGCATTTAGTGCGACACAAGGGATTAATGGCCGTAGTCAATGTACGGACCTCCTCTCATTGTTTACATTTCGAAACAGTATGTCCACCGTGTTTTTCAGTTTGTCATTGATACAGACTCAACCCTAACACCACTATGACGATAAATATCGCTGAATGGATTTGAAAATATTCTCCGTGAGAGAGAATCAAGTCGACCAGCGGCGAACTAGCCCTGTGTGCTAACTAACCCAGCTCCATCTTTCCCGTGTCGACCGCCGCTCCAAAGATGGCAAGTTAGTCTTCATCTGTCGGTTTGCTTTCGTCCTGCTCGGATCTCAAGGACAACCAAATGACTGAAGAGGTATAGCGCCAGTTGAGCCTAAAGGCCAGACAGAATCTCCATTTGAGGAAAATCGCACGTAAGTTAACTCAAAATGCGAAGATGTGCAGCTGTTGGGATGCTACATTATCACAGTCACAATATTTATAAAGCGCAGATATGTGCTCTGTCACTACAATCACTACAATCATGCAGGTCATCAGTGTATGGACATTTTGTTAAATGCTTCTTTTCCAGGGTGCACAATGTTTAGTGTAACTCAAAGCTCCAAGTCCGAGTTCCTGGACAAAGCCAGGCAGGCCAGGGAGGAGAGGAGAGGACAGAAGGACAAGGAGAAATCAGCAACCCTCATCCAAGCCCTGGTCAGGAGATTTCTCTGTCGCTGCAGACTCCAGAAGCAAATACGGTAGTCTCTCATCTTATTTCTTGCAGATTTACTAGTCACCTATGATTTGCGGAGCTTTGAGTTCAGTATGTTTGCCATGATCATCATTAGTAAAATAATACATATTTGGTTTCATCATGTTCATGCAATTGTTGGCTCAATAATAATGTCTATGTCTCACCAGGAAAGAGGTTGATGACTACTTTCAAGCTTCTGAAACCGGGACATCAAAAAGAAATGCACTTTCAATTTTCAAAATTGCTCGGAAATTACTTTTCGTATATCGCCAAGAGGATAAGATGGTGAGTTGCAGCTATGCTGTTGAGGCCAATACGTTGATATCAATAGTACACAAGAAGTACAAGCTAGTTCACTTTCATAATAATGTTCTTTGCTTACCTTTGTGGAGGCTACATAGAACATAACAGTAGTAGTTTAAACTCTTGTATTCAGTTTCGCTTTTTCACATTGTACAGAGGTTCGAGAAGCTCTGTCGTGCAATCCTTGCCAGCATGGAGGTTGAAAACGAACCTAAAGTGAGTGTGCATATACTTTTACCAACCACATACCACACAGTATTTAAAATGTCTCAGTGACTGATCTCACATCTGGGCCTCAGGTCTGGTATGTTTCCTTGGCTCTCTCCAAAGACCTCACCATTCCCTGGCTGAAACAGATAAAAGATGTGCTGTGGATCTGCTGTCAACTACTGAAACATTTAAAGGTTGGTCTTGATTTGACATGTTTTAATATTTGTTTTATGACTTTAATTGTACATTTAACTCTCTGTTTTGTCATACGCAGCCTGACATTCTTCAGGACAATAAATTGGTAACGCTTTACCTCTCCATGCTGGTGACCTTCACGGACACTTCCACCTGGCGGATAGTCCGAGGGAAGGGTGAGTCTTAAGTCAAGCTGATGTCATTATTATAAACTATTCTTTTGTTATTGCAGGACATGCTTTCTGCAACAAAAAAGAAACGCAATACTTCCCCCTCATTATTTCAGGAGAAGCTCTCAGACCCGCTTTGACGAGGATTTGTGAAAATATCATGGGCCATCTCAACCTAAAGGGATTCTATTCAATACTGCAGGTTCAGTTGTACAGCTCATACCGTTTCAGTTTCATCAAGAGATTCAACGAAGTATTGTGACACCTTCTTTCTTCTTATCTTCTTAAAAAAAATGCACATTGTGTGTCATCTTCACTTTTCTGTTTTAGATCTTGCTGACTAATGGCCTGGCTCGTTCTAAACCGTCTCTCTCCAAAGGCACTCTAACAGCTGTCTTCTCTTTGTCATTAAGGTGAGCTGGTCATTTGGTGGTTGTAATATTGCTATTCAAAAGGAAATTTATATTCCATTATTAATACATGAAGTGGAGGAGACGTGTTGTATCCGATTCTGTTACACCCAGTTAGCGTTGTGGTTTCTGTGTTTTTATTTTCCAGGCCAGTCATTGCTGCTCACTTCTCTGATAACCTACTAAGATCATTCCTTCTTCACATCATGTCGGTTCCAGCCGTCGTATGCCACCTCAGCACGCTTACTCCAGAGGTAAAAGTCACATATCACATGTTGTTGAGCATAATAACAATTTTCACTGTTAGAGAGTAGGTTATAATATCTGGTCTTTCTCAATAGTGTATGGCGTCCATTCAGACGCATGACCTGCTGCGTAAGTTCATTCTGTTTCTCAGCCGGGAAGAACAATGTCTGGACATCTGCGTGTGTCTCGAGGGAAGCCACACACTCTGCTTACTTGGTATAGTATTTCGGATAAATATGTGCATTGATGCGATCTAGTTGTGCACGGAGAGAATCGTTGTGTGTCCAGCGGACTGTTACTTTTACCGTTGCCAACCACGTCTTTTTCATGTTTGATAGGCAACCTGATTCACTTGGGCTATTTTACTGAGAAAGTCCTTGAAGAGGAGGCCAATCATTTTGTGAAGGACCTGACTGACATGCTGTCCTACTGCCAGAGATATGTATCCCAAAAGAAGTCCAACCTTACCCACTGGCACCCTGTCCTGGGCTGGTTCTCCCAAACTGTAGACTATGGGTCAGTGAAATACTTGATTTAGAAAAGGGGTTCCCAGGAGACCCAAAATATACAACCAGAGGAAAGGTTTGAAGCCCTTTAAATGCAAAAGTTAACATATTAATTTCTTAGTTAGCACAAGAGCTGACTTGTAATTAAGTAGTTTCTCAGCTTTATTTTGTTAACAAAGGTCAGGTATTTCTGTCTGAATTTGTCTCCCCTCTGTGTCCTCTATCTCCCGTTCTCTGTAGTCTGAATGAGTCAATGCCGCTGGTCACTAAACAGCTTCAGTACCTGTGGGGTGTTGCTATCATTCGGACGCTCTTCAGTGACGTCCTCTCTAAAAAGCTGGAGAGTCAGGAGCCCACTCCTCCACCACCGCAGCCTAGCACCTCACAAAACAATCTACCAGTTAAAAGTGAGTTATTAACTCATCCCTATTCTAACATTCTAAGAACGTTTTAAACGGTTTAAAGAGGTCCTTGACGGTCCTTTGCGTCCCCGGTATCTTGTGTCTGTGTTTTGACAGACCTCTTCAAGCGTGCATTTCAGAAGTCGGCTTCTGTACGGAACATCCTGAAACCAGTCGGAGGGAAGCGAGTCGACTCTGCTGAGGTTCAGAAGGTGTGCAGCATCTGTGTGCTCTACCAGACTGCTCTGTCTACACTAACGCAGATACGACTCCAGATACTCACCGGTCAGTTCCAGAATCGTACATCTTTTTAAGTCATACAAACATACAGTGTTTTGGAAGTTCATGATGAACTTTGACACTCTGCATTCTCTGCAGGTCTGACACATCTTGATGACCTTTTGCCCAAACTTTGGGCCTTCATCTGTGAGCTCGGTCCTCAGGGAGGCCTCAAACTCTTCATGGAGTGTCTGAACAACGACACTGAAGAGTCCAAGCAGCTCCTGGCTATGCTCATGCTCTTCTGTGACTGCTCACGGCACCTCATCACGTAATTTTATAGATTCATTTTAAAAACACTTTTTATTGTGGTATGCATGAAATGTAGGAGCAACATTTTATCACACACTGTTAATGTATTACAGAATTCTGGATGACATTGAAGTATATGAAGAACAAACATCTTTCAAGATCGAAGAACTCATCACCATCTCTTCATTTCTCAACACATTTGTCTACAAGATGGTATGGGATGGCATCTTAGGTGAGTGTGTGACGTCACTGAATCTTGACAGTTATGATGAATGGGTTTGACTGAAAAACCTGTTTTTTTTTTTTTGTTTTTTTTTTATCTAATAGAAAATGCAAAGGGAGAGAAACTGGAGTTGTTCCACAGTGTTCATGGCTGGTTGATGGTGCTTTATGAGCGAGACTGCAGGCGACGATTCTCTCCTGATGACCACTGGCTACGCAAGTAAATACAAACACTGAATAGCTGTTATTAACCTAAACACATTGGCCTTCTGTTTAAGCTCAGTGGTCACATTTAAAAGCTCACCTTTACATCTCTGTGGTGTTGCGTTCAGGGACCTGAAGCCCAGCCTGTTGTTCCAAGAGCTGGAGAAAGGCAAGAAAAGAGCCCAGCTTTTACTGCAGTACATCCCACATGTGATCCCACACAAGAACGTGAGTAAAAAGGACATTTTCTTTTGAGGCAGAGTGTCATTTTTTTATTTTATTTTCTATAATTACATTTCCTCTCTTTTTTAGAGGGTGCTGCTGTTCAGGAACATCGTTACAAAGGAGAAAGAAAGTTTAGGATTGGTAGAAACGAGCTCTGCTTCACCACATGTCACCCATATTACCATTCGTCGCTCACGGATGTTGGAGGTATGGAGTCACCAGATCAGAGCAGATAGAGAGCAAATATGTCCATGCCAGTTCTTCCGTAATA